CAGTGGATTCACTCACACATCATCAAGCATGGTGCCTGAAGAGCTTTCAATCAACCCTTGCCTATAGTAGTCTGTAGTCCGAATTCAATCCTATGCTTCTTCCCTATTTTGTTTGAAATTTTTTTGGTATTTAATGAATACTAATACAACAGCTTCTCTAAATATCGAGATCAATGCTTTTTTCTCTATCTTGTCTAGTCTCCTGACTGTGGTCAAAATAACCGCCAGCATCCTGATCATATCTTGTGTTTAGCAACCTCTTCAATGAAACAAGCCTTGGCGAATGGACGCATCCATGTGAAAAAGTGCTGTTTGGGCAGGCGAAGATTGGGTTAAACGATATTCACCTGGTTTTCACTCCCATTCGAGTCTTCTTCCAAGGGAGGCGCTTCGACTGACAGTCAACCTCGCCCTGAAATTCCGTGTATAGGTTGAATTTTATTAGACTTTCCATTACAGTTGTCAACAAAGGTAGATGTACGACGCCAAATATATTCTAGTCTTTGACACATGAATTCACTTCTCATGTGTGTATGTTCACACCGTTGACAGAGCATTGTTTTTTCTTTCAACTACTCGCTTTCTCTCTCCTGGGTCAATTGATTCTAGGTGTCAAGCTCATAATCCTCTAGGCGAGGTTGACTGTCAGTCGTAGCGCCTCCCTTGAAAGAAGACTCGAATGGGAGTGAAAACCAGGTAAATATCGTTTAACCCAATCTTCGCCTGCCCAACCAGCACTTTTTCACATGGATGCGTCCATTCGCCAAGGCTTGTTTCATTGAAGAGGTTGCTAAACACAAGATATGATCAGGATGCTGGCTGTTATTTTGACCACAGTCAGGAGACTAGAGAAGATAGAGAAAAAAAGCATTGATCTCGATATTTAGAGAAGCTGTTGTATTAGTATTCATTAAATACCAAAAAAATTTCAAACAAAATATGGAAGAAGCATAGGATTGAATTCGGACTACAGACTACTATAGGCAAGGGTTGATCGAAAGCTCTTCAGGCATCATGCTTGATGATGTGTGGGTGAATCCATTGACCGAACATGGCTCTGCCTACGCGGTCGCTTTTTGCCTACTCCTGAGCGCGTCATCTCCAAGGAGGCGACGTCAAGAAAATGAACATAAATATAGAATTAATGTGGTCTAAAAAGAAGCGTAGAGCGGCCATCGTCACTTCTGTATGTTTTTATGACTAAGAGCGCAGACATGCACGAGCAAGCTGTTGTGTAGATATAACACCTTACCAACGCATCCTACTATTGCAAATGTTAGTCAAAGAATGGCGCATTCTAGGGCGAGATCGATCATCGCAACCCTTTTATTTCACACAAAAAGATGTTGTGAAGGCATTGAGAGGTTCGTGACCAGGAGCTCTTCGCCACAGGGAGCATCTGATTTTGGAATGGACAAAGTTTTCCTCGACAAACCTCAACGAAGATGCAAAAACTTCAGTATTTATAGGAAAGGAGAAGAAAGAAAGTTCTTCGCTTTCCTGGTATATTTTTTGGAAAGGTTTGGGTAGTGTTCAGTGATCACGTTGGTCGGAAATTACTTGCGTGGCTAGCCGTAATGAAATATCATTGTTTTGTCCTCCCAAGCAAGACAACTAACAAACCCCGTCCCACAGGAGAACTGAGCACAGTGACCTGATTGCGGTTCGACCCGGGACCTGATCCCCATGCCTAGTGCACGATAAGTGGCATCTCTCGCGCCTCTTTCACCTTTAATAAAACAAAGGATTCCAAGTAATGGATGACGCAGAATGATCCCGGTATACTATAAAACGGATTGAACTATACAACAATGAAGCACTATTCACTGAATACAATTGCTCTTACGAAATCAGTTCAGCGAACTCATGACTGTGCCGAGTGATTACGGAGCAAGAGTCGGGTTCACTTTTTTTGAAACCTCTGCTTCCATTTCTTCTTCCAAGATTTAAAATGCGGAGAACCATGAACTGCCTTTACCAGAACGCCGAGAAGAACCATCGCAGCGGAAAACGACAAATAGTAGTTGGATGAACAGAACGGGAGAACAATCTAGCGTTGACCCGTAGGCCATACAGGGCACGCGAACCTTCCTCTTGTATGCCCACTATCGTGAGCTTCAAAAAAGTCCCATTTTCGAAAGCACACAAGTCCATTACCATACGTCAAAGCGTAAGAAGCTCTGGGTCTGTACTTTAAAACATTCCGCTCCTCAGCTCACCAACCACCTGACGAGTAAAAAAGTGATCTTTGGTACGCGCATCCGTGCATATTTCATCAGCTCAAAGGAGCGACTGACTGATGGGAAAGTAGAAAGTATCATGCCGACAGTTAGTCAAATCCGTAGCTCCAGAAAAAACATGTTTAAAGACCACAAAAAACAGAGTGAGAAGGGCTGGTAAGGTAAAAATGGAATGCTTCCTATACAGTGGCTTCAGAACACAAGGATGGGGTTCAGAAAGTGGTCCCTTTGACAGTATGCAAAAAAACCAGCAAAAGAGTGAACTCAAGCGAGACAAGGACCATGTTGTCCTCTTCAGATAATGCAGGGGAAGATGGGGTGGGCAATGAAAACGATTCACTCCA